CTTTTATGCTTCTCACCTATGTGATCCTTTTCCTTTACAGCTCTCACATCCTAGATTAATTGCTCCTCTGGGCAATTTCTTCTTTTTTTAAATTTTAAGTAGGCTCCCAGCCCAGCATGGGACTTGAAATCACGACCCTGAGACCAAGAGATCATGTTCTACAAACTGAGCCAGCCAGGCGCCTCTCCTCCGGGCAATTTTGTGTCATGTGAACCCGTTGTCTAGAGAGAAGGTTGCCCTCAGCATTGCCCATTACAAACACAGAAACTCTGGCCATTCTATTTGGTGCCATAGCTCAGACCTACTTAAGTTCTTGGTAGAAGGCATAAAATGGCTTCTAGGAAGTCACACTTTGTGTGTAATATCTACAGATTCCCTGAAGATGTACCATTCCCATGTTATGGGTGGAAAAAACCCCCGAGTTTCTGAAAGGTGAGGCCATTTGTCAGAGGCCATACATGGAATCTGAGTACTCCAAGTGGGGGAGCCTATGTTCCAGGCACTTAGGTAAACATACAATGGCTCTGCACTTTAGGCGTGTGATCCCACTTCCAAGCATGGGGAAGCTGAGGCTCAGAGAGGCTTCTAGAATGCTCAAGTTCACAGAGCAAGGAAGTGACAGAGTGGGCATCAAGTCCAATTGGATCAGCCTGAAGGCTGCAAGGGAAAACCTTCCCTGCTCTGCCTCCAGGCCTTTTCCGAGGACTATGGTGGGTGGAGTACCCAGCCTCCAGCCTCCTAAAGCTTCAAAGCCTTTAGCTAACATTCTTGGCACATTCGGTCTCCCCCGCCAGAAGACTGATGGTACCAGAAGTCAATGGAAGCCGCTTGGTGAAAAGGACCTGCTCCGATGAGTCTGGCTTGCTCCTCATCTGTCACCCTTTGTATTTTTTCTCTCCTTCAGGGATAGTCTGGCAGGTCTGAAGAGTGTTTTTTCTCCTGTCAACTGGTCTCCTACCACTTCAGTGGCTCTTAAATTACTGAACGAGCTTCCACACAAGGCAGGCTATTCCAGTTTTGCTCCCTCCCACTTCCCTTCCCCTGTGTAGGCTGCTCTGAAGAGCAGGAGAGGTACAGTCTTTACTGAAAGATTTCGCCAGTGGTTCTGGGAGAGGAAGCTGCCAGATCATGTCAACATCTATCATCTCTGGCTTTTGAAAAACTTCAAATGACACTGGCTGGTGGGTCAAATGTCAACTCAAGGCCATAGCTCACTGTGTTTGCAGGGGATGAGTGAGGGGGATGGGTGGGCTTAGAGGGCCAGGGGCACACAGCCCCCCTTCTGCTCCTACTTGAAAGTAACTTACAAGGGAATAGTGGCAGCGTTCTGGAACACGGGGCAGCAGCTGAAGATAAGATTATGGAAGAAGACAGGCTGGTTGTTCCAAGAACACGACTGGGTTGGCTACCGTTGTGCAGTTTTCAAAGGTAAAAAGACCAGAGGGTGGAGCTCGCTAGTTAAAAGCCTGAGTACTTTCAATTGCTCCCCCCTCTCCCAACCAGATGTGAGCTCTCTCTTTTACTCTCTTTGTACCCGTTCGTGGCTCTTGCTTTCCTGTGCACGGCGTAGAAACAGATGCCTGACACCCCAGGCCTTCCTGACAGGAATTCAGAGTATTTCTCCTGGTTTTGACCCAGTTTCCCGACCAACAGCATGTGACTTGTCTTATTGCCTGCACACCTCCTGACAAGGACAGCTGTGTGTTTAGTTCTAAGCACCCACGTGCTGTTGACCTATATTGTGTAGATCTCGTAGTGAAGAGCTCACTGCGCATCCTGGCATCCAGGATTTCAAATCAACGTAATGGAGTCGTTAGCCAAGGAAAATTCTGTCGGGCATGCTTTAGAAATTTTAAAAATAGCTCACATTTACTAACATCAATTTTATATCAGGAAAAATTCCAGGCATTTTATATACACATCGAATTTTCCCACTGTCACTCTGAGGTAGGTATGATTATTCCCATTTACACATTAGGAAACTGAGGCGCGAATCAATAAAGTCACTTGCCCAAGGTCACAGAGGCAATCAGTGGCATAGTCTGGATTTGAACCCAGGTCTGTCTGGCTTCCCAACCTGAATCTCTGTGTGATGTAGTTCAAGCTGTTCAGGCCATGGCAACGTCATAAGTGGTCTATTTCTAAAAGAGTCAGGAAGTCAGTGAATCTAGAACAGGCAGACCAGTTTCAAAAACAAGATCTAATGCCTGTGCTTTGTTTTTTCACTTACCTAGCAGTTCTGAGGCCCCCCATGTCCCATCTGCTGCCACACTTGAAGATCCTGCCAGGCTGGGAAGAACTTCATTCCTCCTCACTTCATCCAGGTTGGCAGAGAATTGGCAGCCAGCCCTCAGACACGCGTCTGCAACCCTTGCAAACACGACAGGACAGATGGTGCAACTGCTGAGTAATGGTGGCTTTGGCTGGAGCTTGTGGTTATTTGGATTTATCTGTAGCTGAAGGCCTGATGATTTCATTCACAGCTCTTCATTCACTACTTAAGATGTGTGGGGCAGATCCTGAGGGCAGGGGGCTGGGGGGGTGGGGTCTCGCCGGGGCCTGGGACAGGAACAGGTTCCCAGAAGAAGGGCCCTTTCACCTGAGACCTGAGAGTGGGTCCGTCAGTCAGGTATTGAGGTGGAATGGGGTTTGGGGCTACTTTCCAGATGGAGAGGAATGTTAACTGCTGAGAACTGGAAGTGAGAGAGGGCATGGGGTTTAGGAGGAACTGAGAAGCGCTGTGTTCTTGGAACTTAGGGGTTTTTGGGGTTGGGGGAAGAGCGGGTAAACACGAGTCCAGGGTAGGCTGGGGTGGGGACGGGCTGGGGCTCACCACACAGAGCCTTGTGAATCCATCAAGATATTGCTACCGAAGCCTGCTCCCCAGAGAACTTGACTAGATTTTACTCACGTTTTCCTGGATTTTATTCACCTTTATATGTGTGGGGCCCCTACTCCCTCATGCCCTGGTGCCAGGACTTACTGGGTGCTGAAGTTTCAGAGATGCGAGAGGAGCTTTGCCTGGCTGTCCAAGGATGCAGCTCACTTCCACCGAAGACTTCCCGTCATGCACTGCATCTTCTGAGTCTTACCATCTCTCAGTTCAGCAGATATTGTTCCCTTCCATAAAGGAGGGAACCGAAGCTCAGAGGCGTGAGCCCACCAGTGCAAGTTCACGAGCCAGTTAGTGCTGGAGCCTGGACGGCCAGTTCCAAAGGCCCACATCTACTGTGCTTCCCCAGCAAAGGAGACGGATGTGTCCACACGGGAAGTTCATGCTGGAGTGACACGCAGTGAGAATGTGGAGTCAAGGTCGCCTGGCAGAAGAGGCAGGAGTAGCCTATCTGGCCTCAAGGAGGAGGTGGGTCTTGCTGGAGAGGCGGGATTTGGATGGGTGCTGACCGGGCCATACACCTGTCAAAAGATCCCTTTCAAGGTCCCATCAGCAGTTAGGAAAACTCCAATATCCCACGGGGCTCTCGCTCCCACGCCCCCAAATCGTGTTTTAGGAAATTAGGCAAACTAAATAGGGATCTTGTGTATCGTGTTCACTGCTGCCTAGTACAATGCCTGGCACTTCGCAGGCACCCAGTGTCCTCTGTTGCCGAATAAATGAATGAACTTCATCTCTAGTTACCTACTGTCTGGATCCTCACGGATGGGTGCTGACCGGGCCATACACCTGTCAAAAGATCCCTTTCAAGGTCCCATCAGCAGTTAGGAAAACTCCAATATCCCACGGGGCTCTCGCTCCCACGCCCCCAAATCGTGTTTTAGGAAATTAGGCAAACTAAATAGGGATCTTGTGTATCGTGTTCACTGCTGCCTAGTACAATGCCTGGCACTTCGCAGGCACCCAGTGTCCTCTGTTGCCGAATAAATGAATGAACTTCATCTCTAGTTACCTACTGTCTGGATCCTCACTCGCCTGGTCAATGAGGGCACCTGGACAGTATCTGCTGTTCTGTTCCTCAGTCGCTGCTCGCTGCTCCCCAAGCACTTCACCTCTGCCTCTGGCTGGGCCACAGCCAACTAAGTCCTGTGGCCTCAGAGGCCTACAGCAATTTGCCAACATCTGTTGGCAATTAAAAATGCATCCATTCTGACTCAGCAAGTCCACTTGTAGAAACGCAGGCTTGGCATGTAGGCAGCGCGGTGGCTCTGACCATCCTAGCAAGGCCTGGGAGCCAGTGGGCCCCCGCACGTGTCCTCCAGGAAAGAAGGAGCCTTCCTACAATATTTGGAGGTTTATGGACCCCGTAGAAGGGAAGTAGAGCCGAGGGTTCTGGCATGAGGTGGATGCCAGGGAACTCTCTATGGAAAAATACACAAGGTTAGTGTTTTCCCGGGGCGGGGGTGGAGGGGCGGACTTTTCACTGTGGACCCCTCTGAGTCCCAAGTGGTACAGGTGGGGGCGGCAGCCGACTTCGAGGGAGCAGCTATCCTGGGTCTGGGGTTGTGAACACTTCATACAGACTGTCTCATTAGAGCTTTACACAGGCCCATTAAATGATCTGTGGTGTCCAGAAAACGAAGACACCGAGAGGTGAACTACTTGACCTGGGATGATCCAAAAAGCCGAGATAACTGGCTTGGAGCTCAGGTTGCCTGATTCTCCAACAGATGCTCTTCATCGTGATGCGCCCAGGATTTTTCATTCAAGAGCAAGCCCCTGAGAAGTTTCTGGGCCCCAGACCGCCTCAACCGCCGGGTGCCCCGCCCGTCTTAGACGGGCGGGAGACCCCAGGTGCGGAGGCTCGGGAGGGGCGGCCCGGGTCCCCGCGGGCCCCAGAGGCGTGCACGTGGTCGGCGGGCGCGGAGGGCGCCCGGCTGATGCAAGGGAGCCGGTTTCCCTCTGGGCCCCATGAGCCTGGCGGGCGGCCCCTCCCGGTGGGGTAACGGCGCGGGGCGGCCCAGCCGGGGGCGGGACCCGGGAGCGCGGCGGGCGGGGCGGGGCGCGGGCGCCGGAGGTTGCGGCGCGGAGCGGCTGCGGCGCGGAGGGGCTGTGGCGGCCCCGACCTTCCGCGTCCCGGGGCGTTGGCGGCGTTGGCGGCGTTGGCGGCGGCGGCGCGGGCGGTGAGTGTGCGCGGCTCGGGGCGCGCGCGCGGGTTCCTGCGCGGGCGCAGGCGCGGGCGCGGGCGGCTGCGAGCCCGGATTGGAGCGGCGGCGCGGCCTCCTGGGCGGCCTCTCCTGGCCTGGGGTCGGCGGCGCGGCCGCGGCCGGGCTCTCAGTGCGCCTGGGGCCGCGTTCCCGCGCGGGTCGGGCGTGGGAGCGGCTCTCGGGTGGCTCCTGGAGGTCTGGGGCCGGGGGCGGGGATTTCCGGGGAGAAGGAGATCCTGGGCAGAAGACCTCCGGACAGGACTTGAAGGCAGAGACTGGGGTGAGACAGCTGTCCATGGCCAAGGCCAGGTGTGGTGGGACATCCCTGTATCGCTCAGACTCCGTCCTGGGCTGGCTCTTTGACCTTGGATAGTTCACTTTCATTTCTGGGTCTTAATTTCCTCATCTGCAAAATGGAGAGCTAGAACCTATTGCCTTTCAGGGCTTTTCCACCCTAAAACTTAAGTGTCAGGCCCTCTTATGGCCTTTTGTTGGGGCTTTCCAATTTAACAAAAACAAAACCTGATTTGTGAAAACTGTAAGCTGTTTCTTGCTCTCTCACACGTCCATCCCAGTGAGGCACACGGTTCCTGGGGAGACCGGGCATTCTGTCTCCAGAAATGGAGACCTTTGCTCAGGGACTTAAGGATATCTTCCTTTTCAGGGGCCCACCAGCTAATTAAGAAAGAAGCACGACTGGAAGGTCTGGTTAAAATGCAGAATCAGCAAAGGAAACTAAGGAAACCGGGGAGTGGATGACCGGTTAGTTGCAGGAGCCTCGGGGCTGTGTTCACTTGCTGGCTCCACCTCCACCCTGGTGTCCGCTCTGTCTCCCAAGTCTCCCTCCGGCTGGTACAGGGCTGAGCACAGTGGTGGGCTCAGGACACACTGGAAGGTGATGGGTCCACGTCTGCCCAAGGCCGGTGTTGCCAAACCCCCTCCCACCCTCTGCAGCCTCCAGGTTGGACCAGGAGCTGCAGGGTGAGTGCAGAGGGCCGTCGCTGGGCCCACCCCGGCCTCTGGTCTGTACCTCTCTCTACTTGGCAGTCCTCTCTCCTCCACCTTTGCAAAGCCTTTCTCCCACATCAAGGTACTGCCCGCTCCCTCCAGCTGCCTTGTTTGGTCATTGTCTCTTTTTTCTCTCTTTCTGAGTTCATCTTTCCCACCAGATGGGATCCCAGGCAGGGAGGGCTGACCAAGGACTTTAGATTTTATTTTTGGTGTTTGAGTTGAGAAAGCACAGGGCCTGACACTTCAAGGTTCTTAGGGAATGTTTGTAGAGTAAAAATAGTGACAGCTGTATTCCTTGGGCGATTCCTGTTTGCCCAGTGCTGCTCTGAGTGATGTACACGCGTGAACTCTTTGAGCCTCAGTTACCATATTATCCCCCTTTACATGTAAAGAAACCGAGGCAGGGAGAGTTAAGTGACTTGCTCCAGGTGACACAGGTGGGAAACGGCAGGACTGTACCGGTACTTTTTAACCATTACTCCTTATTTCAGATGAATGAATGAATTCCGATTGAGACTTTGCAGGAGGCTAATTGGGCCAACTGCGGTGCTGGGATTTCTCCTCAAAGACACTAGTTGTGGGATTTTTGCAACCAATGGAAACTTTCCGCAGGGGAAGGATATCTGGGCAGCTCCAGCCTGGGGTGGTCCCTCCTGCCTGGAGGAGAGGGGGTGGGCTCCTGGGTCCCACAGGCCTCTCTCACACACCGGTGCAGCTTCTCTGGGCTGCAGGCTGCTAGCTCTGACATCCCTGGGATGTCTGGGAAAAGTGAGTTTTCTTGTCTGGGAAATGGGCCCAAGGATTATATTTGCCTCTCGGGCCCTGGAGGTGAACAGAGGAGGCAGGGAAGGGCTTCCGAGATTGTTGAGATTGTCAGGTGCAGGGCGGACTTCCTCAGGCTGTTGTTGCTTTTATGCCTCTTGAGGGGGTACAAGCTAAGAGGAAGGAAGTAAGGGGTGGTGCAGTTGACTGGTTAATGTTCAGCAGTATTTGGGAATGTCTGCTGTGGGCAGGCCTCAGGCTAGGGGAGGGGGAAGATGGAATGTCAGAAACCGGCAGGAGTTTGCTGTGCCGGTACCCGGGAGAGGGAGCCTCCCCTGACCCACCCTTTTTTTCTTTTCTTTTCTTTTTTTAGGGTGGATTAAAGAACAGGCTCTGAGACCTGGGTCCTGAGGCTCAGGGCCTAGGAATTATGGGCTTGGACTCTGGAGCCAGATGGCTGGGGTTCCCATTTTGGCCCTCTGGCTTCCAGCCACCCCACCGTGGGCAGGTTTCTTTACGTCTCTGCCTCTCCGTTTCCTCTCCTCCTGAGGCAAGAGGCCTGTTGGGTGAGCAGGGTACTGGGTGTCACCCCTGTGCCTCCTTCCGTTGTCCCTGCAGCAGCTGTGCTAGGTGGGGTTCCCTGGAGCCATTTTACAGATGAGGACAGCAAGGCTCGGCGAGTGAAGTACCTTGCCACAGAGCATGGGACAGGGCTGAGCGGGGATTCAGAATCCAGGCTCTCTGGTGTTCAAGTCCTTGCTTTTTCATAACATTTTGTTGCTTTCTGGCCCCAGAACCGGGTACAGGGCAGGTGTGTGATACTTGTTAGCCAACGGCTCATTTTTGTATATTCCTGGTTGGTGGTGGGGGCTCCCAAGTGATTTTCTGGAGCTTACCTCACCGCTGGCTCCAGGTGCCTGCAGCCTGCTCTGTCACACAGGCTCCCCACTTAGAAAGCCGCCCCCTCACCTGGTGGAATGCTCTGCTGTCACCATTTTTTTTTTTTTTTTAAGATTTTACTTATTTATTCATGAGAGACAGAGACAGAGAGAGAGAGAGAGGCAGAGGGAGAAGCAGGCTCCCAAGGAGCAGGGAGCCCGACGTGGGACTCGATCCCAGGACCCTGGGACCATGACCTGAGCCAAAGGCAGACGCTCAACCATCTGAGCCACCCAGGCGCCCCTGCTGTCACCATCTTGAAATTCTCCGTCATGCACCGGGCCCCAAAGATTATGTAGCCGGTCCTTTTTAAAAGACTGAGAGAAATGGAGGGTGGTGGGGGTATGGGAGTCAGGCTTGTTAGGGGACCTGTGCGGTGACAGTCAGCCCCCAGGCCAGCTTGGAACCAAGCAGATGTGGGCCAACCGGACACTTGTTTTCAACCAGCATCAGGAACCATGGCAGCAAAACCCAGTTCTACTGGACTTTTCACCAAGATGGGTAGCCAGGCCAGTGTGTCATCTCAGGGACTCAGGCATGGTCTTCCTTGGCGATGGGTGATTTGTCAGAGCCCCAAGCGGACACATAACAGAAAGAATGAAGGTGCAGGCTCCAGCCAGAGTGTGTGGCGCTGGAGACTCCGCTTTGGCATCAAGAAAATCCCCTTGAAGGACATTTCTGCTTTACGGACGAAAATGTCTTAGGGTCATGATCATGCCCACTGTGTTGTCACTGACCCAGCTCCCAGGGCTTTGGAAAAAGCATTTCTGAGACCTTTTGGAGCTAGATGCCCAGAAGATGCATTGCTTTCCTCACTGTCCTGTTTCTTACCTCCTTATAGATAACAGGAACTGCCTGCGACTGCTTCACCGGCAGTATTTCTCTTTTAGCTCTGGCCTCCTGGAAGCTCAAAACCAAATTCTTGGCTCGCGCAACTGTGCCAAACCTCGAAACAACAACAGTGAGAGCTAGTATTTGTGGGATGCCTCCTTTGTTCCAGATGCCCTCGTCTGTGCTTTATATAGATCCTCCCACCGATTCTTTTGTTGCAGCCTTGTGGGAAAGACACCACTGTTGGAGGATAGGGAGCTAAATCTCTTGGAGGCTAAAGCACTTGCCCAAGTTTACGTAATGAGTGGGTAGTAGAAGTGTTTACAGTGATAGCTCATGTTCTTTAGCGCAGACTTCTGCTGCCTTCTGCCAGGGACTCTGATTGCCTGAATATCTGGGTATTTTTGTTCTTCATGGTTGTTGTTATTACTCTTATTTTTTGTAATCTGTGTTTCCCCCCATCTTGATTTTTTTTTTCATTTGTATTTTGTAATGTCTTCTGGGAAGCTATTTGAGATCCTTTGCATAAACAAGGCTTCCCATGATGGATATACCGGTCCTGTGCCTGGTTGCCTGGGGTGCCTGGGGTGCTGTCAGTAAGGGAAGAGAAATCCCAGATGCCTGGGAGCAGGGCCTGCTCACTTCTTGAGTTCCTGGTGAGTGCCTGGATGTGTCTGAGCTGGAGAAGACCCAAGACCAGAGGGAAGTTCTCAGTTCTCCCCTGGAGGAGGGTTTTATTTCTTCTTCTTCACTCCTGAGAATGCCCCTCAGCATGACCGGAAAGAGCAAAGTCAGTAGAAGGACTCTCGGTGGCTCTCTCTGGCCTTGGGATGACTTTGGCCTTGGAGGAGCCAAAGAACCCAGCCCGCCCAGGCCTGAAGTTCTTTCTTGTGCTGTTTTCTGAAGGCAAGCGAAGCGGCGTTGGCTGCTCCAGAATGAACCACGGCTCCAAGAAGGGGAAGTAGAGCCCAGCTGGTGCTCGGCTATGGCTTGTGAACCACCGATGGGCCCCAGCGGGGCAGCCAGCCCACTGCCCACCTCCTCCCCGGGCTGGAGTGCCTTGCCTGGAGGGAGTCCTCCGGGCTGGGGGCAAGGTAAGGTCATGACCCTTCTTCCCCCCTCCCCCTCTCCCCCCGATGTGGAGCTGGACTCACATAACACAATGGAAGCGGGGTGGGGGTGGGTGGAGGGCACAGAAGGGCCTTTAGCTAGGTGGGCATTTTGGGATACACTTACAGTCCAGTCTGTCATTTCTTTCTTTTTTTTAAATTTTTTATTGTTATGTTAATCACCATACATTACATCATTAGTTTTTGCAGTCTGTCATTTCTATCCATTCTCTCTATCCCCATCTTTAGACCAAGTCTCTGTCACCTTCTGCTTGGACCCCTGCCGCCCTATCTTCCTAGCTGATCTCTCCTCCTTGCCTCTTCCATTTATATGGCATTTAGGGAGAGCTTTTAAAAATGCAGAACAGACCATGTCACTTTCTGCTTCAGTGTTTCCCATGGGGCTTGGTGATCTGTCCATCACCAGCTTGCAAGACCTGCCTTAGTGGTTCCTGCTGCCCATGTTCTCCGTTCCTGGCATGCTGTCCTGCCTCAGGGCCTTTGCATCTGCTGTTTCTTCTGCTTGTTATGCTCTTGCCTTGCCTTCTTTCCTCTGATGAATTTCTAGTCCTGCTTCAGAGCTCAGTTCAGATATACCTTCTGTGGGGAATCCTAAGTCAGGTCTCCCTGATATATTCCTGCTTCTCCCCACGGCACTTATCCTAGTCTGTAATTAATGACCTGTGTCATAAAGTGTTGAATGTCCAGCTTCCCCACTAGAATGTCAGCTCCATGAGGGCAGGGGCTCTGTGTTGCCTTGTTCCTCCCCGCATCTGCAGTACCTAGCACATGCTTGGCCCATAGTAGACACTTACTGAGTGAACAGAATGAATGGGTGGCTCAGTGTAGGCATTTTGAATTGTAGCTGGTTACTTAGATGATTTGAAACTTGACTACAACTAAACTAAAAGGGTTTCTTTTACTACTACTGGTATTGGGAAAGCAGTTTACACACACACGCGCACATGTGCACATGCACGTGCGCACGTGCGCACACACACTCACACACCACTAGAATAAAATGGGATGAAATGATTTTCCTTTAGAACTTTGAAGACATTGCCCCACTGGTTTTTGGCAAGCCACTTCTTGCTCCTTTGCAGGAGATTGCTCCCTGCCCCACCTCCCCACACACACACTTGTGTGCGTTCCCACTTCTTTGGTAGCTTTTCAAGCTCTTTTTCTTATCTAGTTGTAAAAAAAGTATCTCTAAGTAGAGACTTGCTGTTCCCACTCTAAGGAACAGATGAGAGAGATTATTGCCGAGAATCCAGGAACTTGGTTTGAAAGGCGAACAAAGACACCTCAAAAAGTCTTGGCGTTGCTGGAGCAAAGCATTTTCCTCGGGGTGCAAAGAGCCAGGCTAGGGGAGCAGTTGATGTTCCACGGGCCTGGTGCTCCGGTCCACGTGGGTCTTGTGTTCTGTGCCATGAAATGCAGAGCTGATCTATGGCCCCGCCTGGCCTGACTGCCTGCCTTTTGGGCACTGCCTTGGCTCCAGCTGCTTCTCTTTCTTACTTTCATTTCCCCTGGTAGCTTTGGGCAGGCCTGTTTGCCTTTCAGAGGCTCTGTTCCCTTTTCCACGATAATGGTATCCATCTCTGAGGGCTCTCAGAGGCTGAAATGCGGTTGGGACCTTGAAGCCCAAGTTCCCTCCCTCGTGCCTGGTGAGGGCTCAACACCTGGAAGCTAGTCTTATTTTACCTGATTCTGTCTTCTTTCTGCCTTTATTTTCTTCTTGTCCAGTTTCTCTCATTTGCTTATTTTTAAATCTAGTTTTATCTTTTCCTGTTTTGCTTTATGAAGTGACCTTAAATCCTTCCTGGAGCAGGTGTGGGAGGGTAAGAACAAATACAACTAAATCCACACACGTGGATTGCTTTATTGCAACGTTTGAGTCCTGGCAAGCTTGCTTTTAAATTGGCAACAATAGTGGCCAGTTATGGTGCGCCAAGCCTTTATTTTCACCCTCTTATTTCTCTGTAAAGTCCTCTTTGCGGATACGATCCCCCTCCAAGTGAGGAAGCCGGCCAGGGATTCCCTCCCCCTGCAAGTGAGGAAGCCGGCCAGGGATCCAGGTCACTTCTTCAAGGCTCCTCTGTGAGCAAGAGGCTGGGCTACACTTTGAATCCTAAAGCTCTCTAGTGTGTGCTTTCCCTGCCTTGCCATCTTGCCTCCATACCCCTCACCTCTTGCAAAGACCTTAAAAAAAAAAAAACAAAAAAACAAGAAAGCAAATAAAATTCTTTTCGGCAGGGGGTCGAATGCTCTGTCACTCGAGCTCATAGGCGATACCCCAGGGCATAAAAAAAAAGAACCCTATTGGGGTTGGGGACCAGAGTTCTGTCCTATCAATTCATTTATACATCAAACATTTATTTAGTGCCTACTGTATGCAAGTACTGAACCCAGCTCAGGGGATCAGTGATGAGCAGAACCATATGGGAGTACATAGTCTGGTGCGGAAGATAGGCTTTAATCAACTAATTACATATGTAAGCAAATAATTGCAAATATATGTACTTATCCTTGATGAGAAGAGCAGTTCTGAGTAGGTTTAGCAGGATTTGATCTGTTAAGGGTATAGTGTCAGGGCAGACTCCCTGAGGAAGGGGTTAATGAGTTGGGATACCCATGTTGAGTAGGGTTTAACTGTGTGAAGTCCAACGGAAGTGTTCTAGGGAAAGGGAACAGCATATGTAAAGGCCCTGGGGCAGGAGAGAAAACTGCCTGTTCCAAGAACAAAGGAGGCTGGTGTGGCCAGACACAGCACTGAATGGCCCGAGGTGAGTTTAGCAGGAGGCTGGTTCTAAGGGCTGGGAGAGTGGTAAGGAGGTTGGTTTTTGTCAGTAGAGCACCAAAAAGCTATTGAAAGTTTTACTCAGAGGATTGATGTCCTCCAGTTTGCGTGCTAGCTGTTGTGTGGAGAGTGCATTGTAGGTGGGAGGAGTAGGTATGGAGACACCAATGAGGAGGCCGCCACAAGGTCACAATGGAGAGTGAAGGTAGTAGCCTGGCCCAGGTGTGGAGGACATGCCAAGAGGTGTGTAGAATTGAGAGATGTTCTGTTGGCCCAGTTGACAGGGCCCAGAGAGGGGCTGTGTGAAGGGGTAGAGAGAGTGGGTGGGCCAGGAATTCCCAGGCAGGTAGGACTAGGCATTTTGCTTTAAAGACTCAGGTATTGCCCAGAGCTAGCCTCTGAGGGGACAGGTTTGGGCCAGCAGATAACATATTGATGGTTTGATCTCTTCCGTGCTGCTTTATCTTCTGAGCCGTGCCCACAGAAAATGTACCAGCATATCCAGTCCCCAGCCTTGCATGGGCCGAACACTGGCATCCCCCAGCCCCGTGCCTACTGACCTGACCTGGGCTCACGGGGCCTCATGCTTTGGTGGAAGGAGATCTCGATCCTTCTGTCCAGAGTCTCTCTACTCAGAACAGAAGGTAGATGCAGCTTCATTCCGTGGCTGGTCCTCCCTGGGCCTGAGGGGCTTTTAGTCCAGAGCTTTCACCCCAGTTGGCCTAACTGGTCTGGCCTCCTTGCTGCCCGTGGTCTCCTTGCAGTCCTTCAGGGAGAGTTTTGATAGCTGTTGTGACCAGGCTGGGTTGATGCGGCGTGTTTGTTGAGTTCGACTTAATTCAGTTGGTGCTTTTGAAATGTTGAGTGAGTTGCAGATACCCTGAGGACGGGGTTACCAGTAAATCCGTGTATTAGGGGACGCCTGGGTGGCTCAGTTGGTTAAACATCTGCCTTCAGCTCAGGTCATGATCCCAGGATCCTGGGGTTGAGTCCCACATCGGACTTCCTGCTCGGCGGAGAGCCTGCTCCTCCCTCTGCCTGCCGCTCCCCCTGCTTGTGCTCTCTTTCTCTCTGACAAATAAAATCTTTAGGAAAAAAAAATCAGCATATTAGTTTTCTGTAGCTGCTGTAACAAATTGCCACCCACAGAGGGGCTCGCGAAACACAAATCCATCTTCTTCTAGTTCTGGAGGTTGGAAGTGTGGACTGAGCTATAGCTCCGTGTCAGCATGTCAGCCAGGCTGCTTTCCTGCAGGAGCCTGGGGAGAGTCTGTTTCCTTTTCCAGCTTCCAGAGGCTGCACATGCTCCTCGGCCCGTGAACCTTCCTCCATTTCCAAAGGCAGCCACGTTCCAGCTCCGTGCTTCTCTTCTCCCCATCACGTTGCTCCTGACACTTCGGCCGCCTTACTCTTCCATTTTTAAAGACCCTTCTGATTACATCGGGCCCACCCAGACAATCCAGGAGAATCTCCCTTTTTCAGGCCAGCTGATTGGCAACCTTAACTCCATCTGTACCCTTAGTTCTCCTTGCTGTGTAAGGTAACCTATTCGCAGGCTCTGGGGAGTACAGCGGGGACATCTTTGGGGGTTCATTGTTCTGTCTACCCCAGTCAGACTGAGCCCACTGTGAGTATAATATTTGGGTGATCTTCCTTTGCGGTGATCATACAAATGTCTGATACATCACCTTTTCCATGTATTTGTTGTTCAGTCTCTGTTTAAGTCTCTTTTGTGATGGGGAGCTCGTTCCCTCCAGTTCTTTGTTGGCTCTCCTTCTTGGCAAGTTCTTCCTTCTCTGGTCTTGCCTTGTGTCCAGATCACCTCCACGCTCTGGTCCCAGGTCTCCCTCTGCTGGGGTTTCTTGTCAAGTTCGGTGCTTCTCGCATAGGGATTCGAAGTCCCTCCTTGTCACGAGTAAGGGTCTCATGGCAAGAGGAGGTGATGCCAGCAGGCTCTGGGCTTGTCCACAGTAGTTCTCACCCAGCCAGCTGAAGCTTCTGGTCTGCTTTCAGAGCTCCGCAATGGCCAGGTGCTCACGGTTCTCCGGATCGACAATACCTGTGCACCCATCTCCTTCGATCTGGGCACTGTGGAGGAGCAACTGCAGACCTGGGGCATTCAGGTGAGTGCTCATTTTATTGAGACCCTCTGCCATTTTTTCCTTTCTTCCATCCACCCGCCTGTCTGCCCATCCATCTATCCTTTCATCCAGTTGTTCACAAAATATTCGTTCAACACGGACTCTGTGCTCCATGGGGTGGGGCAGGTAGGGAAGATGTATGAGAAGTGTCCCCTCTTCCCAGTTACTTCACTTAACAGATACGTATTTTGGGGTGCCCATCCTTTGCCAGGCGCTGAGCTGGGTGCTAGGTACCACGGAGGTGACCGGGACCCAGCGCCTGTGCTCATACTGCTCATAGAGCCCAGTGCAGGAGATGGACTCACGCCAGGTACAGCAGGACAGCAGGACCTCAACACCGCGGAAGCAGACTGTATAAGGTGCTGAAGCCATTCACAGGAGAAAATGATGAACTCACCTGGGGGAGCAGTGGTTAGGAAAGCGTCACGGAGGGGCAGATACTTGATCTGGGGTCTTGAAGGAAAAATAGGAGTTTGCTGGGTAGACAGGAGGAAGGGCATTTCAGAAGAGGGAACTGTATATTCAAAGGGAAGCTGCCTGGATTTGTTAGATGATAATGCAGTGCTTTCAAGCATAGTGATTTGAGCCGTAGGCTTCTCAGACCCGTAGGTCTGGGTGCAGACCCAGCTCTGCTGCTTCCTGCCTGCGTGACTTTCTGCAGATGACTTAACCTCTCTGAGTGGCGGTTCCATCCTATATAAAATGAGGGCAATATTCATATCCATTACCTAGGGTTTTTGTGAAAGGAAGTGAATTAGTGCTTGAGAAATAGTTGCACTCTGTCTGGCATGTAGTACATGTTCTGTACATTGTAGGTGTCGCTGTTGTTACAAAGTAGCCATAGGTGTGGCGGTCTCTGTTCTCGAAGCTCCCAGCGTCACCAGGCCCTCCCCTGCACCACCTAGGGAGGACCAGTTATGGAGGGGAAAGACACACAGCTAATTTTACCCTGAAGATTTTAGAGTTTACTTCTTTCGATTGGAATTGCTTGTTCCTGTTTCAACCAACATTGTATCATTCAAAGGGAAACTTTGCAAATTGATGGTACTAAGCCCACACCAGCAACAGTGGCTGGTTTATCATCCAGTGTATCATTCAGCCTTTGTCCAAAAGAACATTTTTTTTAAACTGTTGTCTGCAGATGGGGTTTCCATAACTGGGGAACAATTTACATAATATTCTACCGTATTCCTAAATATCCTCTTTAATGGTTAAATTCTATTTTTTTAAAGATTTTATTTATTTATTTGATAGAGAGAGCATGAGTAGGCAGAGCAGGAGACAGAGGGGGAGGGAGAAGCAGACTCCCCGCTGCTGGGAGGGAGCCCGATGCGGGGCTTGATCCCAGGACTCTGGGATGATGACTTGAGCTGAAGGCAGACACTTAACGGACTGAGCCACCCAGGTGCCCCTAAATTCTATTTTTTTAAGCAGTCCACTCTTGTAGGGCTTTGATGTGCTATGCCATTTTTTCTGGGGCTAGGGGTGGCAGGAAGATGGCAGTTTCCAGTACTTTGAGCTGTATGCACACATCTGTCAAAGTGACACATAAGCACCGGAGTAGGCAGAACAAAGGCCCCCACATGTCCGTATGTGTGTACATGTTATACTTACACTTATTTTATGATATACATGTTAGAATTGTATATGTGGTACGGTATTTAATATGCAAGCCACCCCTACAAGGGAGGTATACTTATGGTCGTCGTTTTGCAGAGGAGGAGCCTAAGGCTCAGAGAAGTGGGGTTCCTTGCTCCAGGTCACATGGCCCGTGAATAGAAGGGCCAAGGTTTGGACCCAGGCTCCTGACTCTAGGGCCTGAGCCCTAACCGTTAGGCTATCATGGGTCTGCCGTGAGGCCCTGAGCCTGGGGCTGCAGGATGCCCCCCCCCAAGGCTGTCCTCCTGGATCTCGAGTTGTCCCACCTCCCCCATGGTGCCCAGCCTTCCCTGAGCTGAGGGCTGCATCCTGTGATCCCCAGTCTGAGTGCTCTGAGCTCTTCATTCTGCCTTCTGGGGCAGCCTGGATGGTGCCTGTTCCCCTTTCCACCTGATAGTCACATGAACTGGAAATGACTTGCTTGCGTGCAGGAAGGAGGTGGGAGTGGTTCCCCATGGCTGATTGGTCTCTTTCCCTTGCACGGCCAAGTAGGTCCCTGCCGACCAGTACAGGAGCTTGGCCGAAAGCGCCCTCTTGGAGCCCCAAGTGAGAAGATACATCATCTACAACTCCAGGCCCATGCGGCTGGCCTTTGCTGTGGTAAGGAGGGTGGGGGTGCTGCGCTAACCTTAACCCTGCTGTGGCCCCCTGTGGTGTGGCTGAATTTGGCATTGTGTTCTGGAGCCTGTCGGTGTGGGTAAGGGGTTTGGGGCTGGTGGTCCAGCTGCCTGGGACAGAGCAGTACACACGGACCTGGATGTGGTATAAGGAAATCAATGGGAGAGAGTTGTAACTAGATCCCCATGTAAAGGATGAGAGGCTGAATTTACTTACTAAGGACAGAGCTTGGGATTGGAAATCTGAGGACCCATCATTGTGACTTTGGACTCAATGTCTGGCTTTGGTTAAGACTTGTCTTCTTTCTGGGACTTGGTTCCCCCATCTGTTCAACAGATAAGTCCATTTCAGCTCTGATCATATCTACATGAGTGTGTATAAACACATATGTGTATGTGCATATATATATACATGAAGGCCCGTACATATAAACATCCATACCCACCTATGTACGTACATACAGGCACATCTGCATACATATATAGGTACAAATAGCGGAGCCAGTATTTGAACCCAGGCAGTCTGGCTTCGGCATCTGTGCCCTTAACCACTCTGATCTGCCACTTCTCTGTACGTGCACATGGCACAGTAGCACCCTTGACTCCCATGTCTGCTGCTAGGGAAGGCAAAGGAATGGCTACTGGTATTTGGTAGTTCTCGAACAAGTGCTAGGCTGTTACACACATGGTCTGATTAACCCTTATAACAACCTGTGAAGCAGGTATTGTCCCCATTTTACAGATGAGGAAATTGAGGCGCAGAGCATTGTTAATGACTTGTCCAAGGCCACACATAGCTGTTGAAGGATCGGTGTGGGTTTCTGACTCAAATTTCTCTCACTCCCAGGGCCCCTTGCCCTTTTCCTGCTTTATTTCAAGTCAGAGGAAGCAAGGATTCAGAGGAGCTCTCCTGACCCCTTTCCTCTACTGTTGCTTATGGACAAGGAACAAGGGCTCCTCCTCACAGACCCCGATCATCCCTTCCTGGTCCTGGGAGCTCTTGGTCTCCGAGGAGGGCGTCGGACGTGTCCGAGGGGTGTCTCCCTTTGAATGGAGCGGCTTCGTTCGAGCACCGGTATTCCTGATCGTGCTCTTTCTCTGGTTTCTCGCAGGTTTTCTATGTGGTGGTGTGGGCCAACATCTACTCCACCAGTCAGATGTTTGCCTTGGGGAACCACTGGGTGGGTGTGCTGCTTGTGACCCTGGCAGCCATGAGCCTGACCCTGACCCTCGTGCTCATCTTCGAGAGACACCAGAGGAAGGTGAGTTGTCAGGAGACCCCAGCCATGCTCCCTCCAGAAAGGGCGTGCTGGCAGAAGAATCCCAATTCCGATCTTTCTCTTTTCCCTGCCCCAGGGAATTTCTCCAACCATGAAAATTCATGTGGGCCCTTGGGCCCAGTGACTAAAAGAAATGAAATCACATGTGTGATTAATTCCTCTCTGTTTTTCCTTGTCTAATCCCTGCGGGTTGTTTTTCTGGAAGCAAGCTGTGTTTGGAGAGAGTCTGGGACGGGGAGAGGAGGGCATGTTGGGTTTACCGAGCCCTTTCACGCTAAGAAGGGCCGAGCTGGGATCCAAGGCCAGGGCACTCAGATCCCAGGCCTTGTTCTCAGTCAATATCCTACTGCATTGGCAGTGTGCAGATGGCTGCCGTCTCTGGTGACCAGAAACATAGTGGCTTAAAACAATGCAATGTATTGTCTTAGAGTTCTGTACTTCAGGGCTGTGTCCTTTCTGGAACCTCTAGGGGAGAATGTATTTCCTGCCTCTTCCAGCTCCTGGAGTCCCCCCTCCATTCTCTGGCTAATGACTCCTTTGTCCGTCTTCAAAGCCAAAAATGGCGGGTCTAGTTCTTCCCACATCTTTGACTCTGAGTCTTTTGGCTCCTTCTTCCACTTTTGAGGCCTGTTGTGATTACTTTGAGCTGCCAGGATTATCTGGGACAAACTCCCTTTTTTTAAGGTCAGCTAATTAGCAATGTTAATTCTACCTACAACTTTAATTCCCCTTTTGCTGTGTAACGGGATATCGTCACGGGTTCTGGGGAGTAGGACTCTGGCACCTTTGGGGGCCCTGATTGCCTGCCACACCTCCGCTGTCTTCCCAGCTCCTCAAGAAGCTCCCCCAGCCCCTGGCACAGAGTTGGACTCGGAGATCCGTTCTTGCCTGACTCGGGAGGAGAGGGATGCTGGGAAATGTGGTCAGAGTTTGGGGTATGAATTCTGTTTGGTTCCTATGCTCACAGGGACAGCTAGGAACTTTAAGGCTTAATCATCCTGAAAAGATCTTTGTTGGGCTTTGTGACAAGGCTGACGAAACGATGCTGCCCTTGGCTCCGTGGAAGCTTTCATGGCTCTTGTACTTGGCATATAAAAAATAAACTGGCTGCCCCTGCAGCGAGAAACTTTCCTTGGCAAGGGGAAAAAGCAAAGTATCCTGCCTTAGCAAGAGCAAGGGAAATACCTGGCACCTGTCAGGGCGAGCCTTCAGGGATGCAGATGTAATGAACGCAGTTCAGAGAATGCCTGTGGTGGCCGTCTGCCCTCTTCTTTGCCTTCCTTGTTTGGCTGGTATTCATGGCACAGAGAGGAAGAAGACCCTGTGTCTTTACTCATAGGTGCAACATGGAGGCCCTGGGTATGCAGTGGCCCTCTTGTCATCAGTGTTTGCTCATTCAGGGAACCTGAGGTTCTTTCACTCCTAATAATGACCACCATTTAATAAGCACCTACTATGTGCCTTTGTTTGGCACCTGCCGCCTATGGCCACCAACCAGACAAGGAGGCAGAGTATTTCTGCCGTTGGCTAGCTCTGCAAGCTGGGGTAAGTTGTTACTTCACCCCCTCAGGGCCTCAGTTTCCTTGTCTGTAAAATGGAATAGTAATTGTAGCTCCCACAGGGCACCCGACCGGCTCAGTCGGTAGAGCATGCGACTCTTGATCTCATGGTCCTGAGCTCAAGCCCCACTTTGGGCATAGAGCTTATATTAAAAAAAAAAAAATTGTAGCACCCTCATAAGATTATTGGGAGAATTAAATGACTTAATACGTGCAAAGTACTTATAATAGTACCTGGCATAATGTAAATGCTCAATAAGTATGAACTGTTAGGATTATTGACTCTGTTTGCCAGTGGGGAAGCCACAGCTCAGAGAGGTTAAGTAACCCGTCTGTGGTCACACAGGCTCCTGGGGTCTTGCCTAAGCTCAAGGATTTCTTCCTGCCTGGATCCCTCATCACTTGAACCTTGCAGCCCTCCCTTCCTGACCACTCTTGTCCCTCTTTCTGTCCTACTTGGACCGTAGCATCCTTGAGAGCCTGAGCATTTTGCACGCACTGCCTTGTTTTCCCCTTGTTTGGGGCGTTATTAGCCCTCCTCAGGATTGGAAGGTGTGTGAAGGCATGCAAGGCCCTGCCTTGTATCACAGACGGAGTAAAAGCATGTTGCTAAAGCATGTGGGAAGTTCCTAAAAATAATCGTTTGTGGCCAACAAGATACAGCGGAAAAAGATATTTTCGACTCAGTATCATCACTGAACTGATGTCATGAGCTGACAGGCATTGTGTGTTTGTTCTTCTAGGTGTTCTACACGGGTTGGCTCATTTCATAGGATGAGGGCATTTTTCAGAGATGAGATGGAGATGGAGAGGTGGGGGTAATTTGGCCACGGTTATCAGGCGGTGAGAGGCAGAGCCCGGGTCTGAACTCCCCGAGGCGCAGGTTTTGGAAAGGTAGCGCAACCCTTGCTAAGGCTCCAGGCTAAACAAAATGTACTCACCCCATGTTTTCATAGTTGTGGCATCCCTGGAAAATTCACTATATTTTAGATCCATTTAAAAAATAAAAAAACACTTTAGGTTTCCATGTCAAGTGGACCTGGGTTGGCCGCTCAGAACCGTGAGTAGATTTTTCACCTGTGTTCACGCCCGGTGGGGAACGTGGAATCTGGGTAGGGCAGGAGACTGCTCTTCCAAGTGCGGGATCGTCTCTCATGGGACACGGCCTTCAGCGGAAGGCATCCCTGGTCCCTGTCCCTAAGTGCCAACATAGCCCGTCCCATCCCTGTGACAACCACAGGCCCTTCTTGCATTCTCAAACGCTCCCTGCAGGAGTCCTGCCCTCCTGGGGACCTCGATTGTCCTTGATGGGGTTGTCATCTAGTTGCGTCTCTAAATCCTTATGGGGTCTCTACCCCAAACCAGCACTTTGGGTCCTGACACCCTTCCTCCTCCTCCTCCTCCCTCCTCCCCTCCCCGGCCTGTTTAGTTAGCATCTACTTAGTCAACTAGATCCATGGTGTCTGGTTGGTTTGGGTAGGAAAGAAGGGAGATGGATTCCCAGAATCTCCTTCCGAGGGCCAGGCACTGTGCTCGGTGCTTTGGAAAGTAGGTGCTTTATTTACACAATAAGCAGCTCTCAAACCTGCCCACCCCCCCGCCCCCCGCTTCCTCCTGCAGATATCTCTGTCAGCACACCAGACTGTTCCCGGGCACTGGTTAAGAGCGCACACACAGTCACGTTCAAGCTCATCGTGTTCCTAGGAGGCAGGGACACCCTGACACTCTTTCTCCTTATTCTACAACTGAAGAAAGCAAGACTCGGGGAAGGAGCGTAACTTGTCCAGGGTCACACAGCTGGGAGGTAGCAGGGCTGGGCTTCAACCCAGGGCTGTCTGACACTATCGAATTTATTGTCCCCCAAACCCCGCAATCCCATTTTAGGTGGGGGGCGATGGGTATGTCTCAAAGGCCAGGATTGCCCCATGGCGTCTAGAGGCGGGACGGTGTGTGGGTATTGCTCAGTGCCCAGGAGCTCCCTGGCAGCGTGGGGATCTGGCCACAAGCCTGGTGTTTGTCTTATAGGCCAATAGCAACACAGACCTTAGGCTGGCGGCTGCCAACGGAGCCCTCCTGAGACACCGGGTGCTGCTGGGGGTGACGGACACGGTGGAAGGCTGTCAGAGTGTGATTCAGGTACTGTGTCTGGGAGTGACCTCGGCTTGGGTGCCCCCATTAGGGCTGGGTTGGTGGGGAGAGGGGGCCCCAGGATCCCCTGGTCTGCATGGTGTCTTGGAGTCTGCTAATGAGGCAAGCGTGGGCAGCCCTTCCCTTTCTCCCTGCTCCAGCGCTTCTTCCCGGAGACCCATCTCTGGGTGGTGACCCGCAGCCTGGAAGCTGCACGGGCAGGGCTGGAAGGGAACTTGGAGACCGTCTAAGCCATGCTTCTCATTCAGCATTTATTCAGCAAACAGAGGGGGCGTCCTCTGTGCCAGGCCCTTCGACGGGCACTCAGGGGCCCATGCAAGGTGTCTGGAGAGGCACATCAGACCCTGAGGCTTTGTCTACCTGGCTCGGTCATTTTCTTCGTTCCAAGTGCACTGGGGAGATCTTAAGTGACAAGTCTGAGGTCACACAGGGGGTCAGGGAGATAATGGGAGAGACTAGTCGGCAAGAGGGTTGCTACCCTGGGTCTCATGGGTCAGTCACTGGGAGGAGGGAGGTCTGGGATCCAGAGGAAGTGGTCAGTCACTGGAGGCGTGAGGCATGGGCCGTCAGTTTCTCACAGAACTTCAGGTGTGATCCCAACCAGATGTAATGAGTGTACGTGGGGGGTGTCGGCCTGGCTGCGTTTCACCTGACCTTCTGGGGACTGTTGAGGTTGAGGAGGAAGGGGAGGTAAAAGTGGGGTGAACATTTACCCCGCTCCCCCACTCCCAGAGCACCCAAGTTGGATCTGCTCCCGCCTGGCCTTGGGCAGTAGGGGTGAGTGACTGGAGTGTTTCACTCATCTGCCTGTGGGGCTCCAGACAGCAGGGCACCCCAGCACCTGAGGATGAAGGAGGTAGCCCCAGATGGATACATGATGTCCGGGATGGTTTGGGATGCTCAGTGACTTGGAGCAAATGGAACTGTGGCCATTTTGAACAGGGTTGGACATTTTCCAAATGTGCACACAAAGCCATTTTTCTCCCATCTGTACAAAGGACTCTCTGCTATGTATGAGGACTCTGGGCGAGAGCAGAGAGGCATGGTCCTACCAGAGACCGGGCATAAATTTGCTCATCCCCAGAGGGGCAGACCTCTGGCAAGGAGGAGGCAGGAGGTGGAAGGTAGTGTCAGGGACGGAGAGTTCAAGGTTGGGCTGGCTTTGAGCCTCCGCCGTCATGGCTTCTCTCCCCAGCTCTGGTTTGTCTACTTCGACCTGGAGGACTGTGTGCAGTTTTTGTGTGACCACATTCAAGAGATGAAGATGAGCCAAGAGGTAAGATACCATAAACGAAAAAACAAACAAAAATAAACCAGGAGGCCAAATTGTACAGATTGCATTTCCTTAAGGTTGGAAAAATGTCTAAGGAAACGTTACTTGGAAGGAAGAATGCCTACCTGGAATCAGTGGTTGTTTCTGCTTAGGGAATTGTTCCTTCTTAACAAGATTTCAGTTAGTTGCATTTTCCACATTTCCTGATAACAATTATATTAACAATTAATAGTAGTAATATGATTCTGGCAGAGGGAAGTACCAGGTATTTAGACGACTTTCACTTGTTTGAAACGCCTTCCTTCCATTTATGATCAGGGTGCTCTTACTCTGATCCCATACACAAGGACACTGAGCCTCTGAGAAGTGCTGTGGCCCCCCAAAGGCGGCCACGGGGCTGGTTGGTGATGCCAGGTTTGGAGCGCAGCCCTCCTGTCTCCAAGCCCTGGGCTCCTTCCTGGGGTCAGCCTTTCCCTGGGCCCTGTAAGTGCTGTCGTGGGTCTTGAGGTCAGGGTTGTGGTTTAGCCCAATCCCAGCCCATTCATCCCTGTACGGCCTTGGGCAAGGCCTTTGAGCTGTGCTTCACTCACCTGCAAGGTATATATCAAGATACCCATGACGCAGGCCTCTTTGAAGAGCAAATGAGAACGTGGAAGGAAAAGTGTTTTGGAACCTCTTAGAGACCGTAGGGAATTTTGTAGGCCATTATCTGACCTCTCGGATGTGGCTGAGCTCCAGATTCTCCTGAGGTAAGCATCTGAGTCCGTAGATGGATCCATCAGTCCTTTGTGAGTCTATAGCACCGGGAGTGACTCAGCCTCTGACATACCACCCAACTTGGGACACCATCCACGTCCCCTCTCTCTTTTTCAGTCCTTGCTGCGAAGCAGATTGAGCCAGCTGTGTGTTGTCATGGAAACTGGGGTGAGCCCCGAGACAGAGGAGGGGCCCGAGAACCTGTTGGAGGAAGCTCCTCTACTGCCCAGCAGCCCTCATCCCGAGGAGAGGCCACTCATGCAGACTGAGCTTCGCCAGCTTGTTCCTGAGGCTGAGCCGGAGGTAAGGGGCACCTGGGCTGTTCAGGGCCATCTTTCCTCCCAGGACATTTGTGTGGAGTCCATGTGGGGCCTCAAGTTATAAATCCCAGGGAACATGACTTCACTGAGTTGGTAGAGGCTGTGCAAATCTTCTAGCCTACTAGTTTTTAATATTTTTTTTTCCTTACTCTAGCACTTTAAAAAATAGTTTATAGGAATCATTTTCTACTTCCTGGTTTTTGCCCCCATCTTTAAATATCTTGGATATTCTTTTTTGGTAGTTCCATGGGATATCTAGTTGCATGTTGATGGGTCGTAGCCTACATAGCCATAAACGTTATCATGAATATTTGGGTCATTTTTAAAATCTGTTTTGCAATCAGTCTGTCATCTATCCATCCATCTGCTTAAATTGCAGTCAGATATATATGCTTTTTCTTATATGCATTTCTGTTGAATTCCAGTGTCCCCAGCCCCAGAGTTCTGTCAGGTCCTGCCACCCAAGCTCTCTGTTGGGTATGGACAAGCGCTGGTAGACCAGGTATATGATAATGTGGTTTTCAGCTTGTGTCTTCTGTGAGGACAAGACTCACTGTCTGGGAGACAAGCACCAAGGGGTGACTTCAGGCATTCTGTGATGCAGGGAGGCACCTGCGTTTTCTTTTCAGCCAACAGATTTGGGGATTAAAGGCCCAAACCAGCCCAGACTTTCCGTTTTGCCTCGGTGAGGAGTAGGGGATCTGACAAATGGGACCCATCAAAAGAGAAAATGATAAATAGATTAACCTCTTCACTTGAATCCCACTGACTCTGTAAATTTTAATTTATTTTATTTTTTAAAAAAGATTTAATTTATTTGAGAGAGCTAGAGAAGAGGGCACAAGCAGCAGGGAGGGGCAAAGGGAGAGGGACAAGCAGACTCCCCACCGAGCAAGGAGCCTGATGCGGGGCTCGATCTCAGGACCCTGAGATCATGACCTGAGCTGAAGGCAACTGCTTACCTGACTGAGCCACCCAGGCGCCCCCACTGCCGTTTTTTTTTTTTAAGAGAACAAAAAAGATTGATAAGGTCATGTACTTTATTGTGGCAAGCCTGGGATATGACATAGCCTGTTAAATCTGATGGATTTTTAAAATTATTTTTTCAAATTCATTCAAACCAATGGTAATATGATACTCTGTCATGAATATCAAGTGTGTGTGCACATGTTTTTAAAGTAGCTGCCCTCTATAACTTAGGGAAAATATAATCAGTGCCCGAGTCTCAGCATGGGCCAGACCATCATATTTCAACAGGAAACCAGCACCTCTGAAAGACAGAGAAGTAGTTATAATCACCTCTTACATTGTAGCAGATTTCTCATCATACATTAAATCCTTCAGCATACCCTCTTGGATATGGAGTGTTTTTCCTTCTTCCTGGTTGGGTGAAATAAGCTTCCAAGAGGTCAGCTGACCTGCCCAAGTTCAGAGAGCAAGGGAGAAGGTTGCCAAGCCAGGGGCAGAAGCCAGCCCTGCGAATTCTAAGTACGGTTTTCTTGCCATAGTTCTTTCCTTACGCTCTTCATTTTAAAGTAGATTGGCCAGGAGATAAATCTGAGTTAGGGAGTAGTAAACTACTTGAGGTTTTCAGTATTTTTCTAGCACCAAGGGTGACTCAAAGGAAGCACCAACCCTACAGAGCTAGGTGGAGTTTCTGCTTTCTAGAATAATGATAATGTTGATGATGTTGGTGACACTGAGCACGAGGTGGGGGACTTTCTATCGAATAGTTCCTTTAATCCTTCCTCCAGCTAGATTAGATGGGTGCTGTGTTTCTCTCTTTTACTGTCGAAGAAAAGGGCTCAGCAAGGGGAAGTGACTTGTCAGGGTCTGTCATAGGGTGCCCGGCAGAAATGCCCACTCAGGCCCTTTGATTCGGGAGCCTCTTTTCAATCACTGACCCCCCCGATGTGAACAGCCTGATGTGACCCACACCTTACTTTATTACATTTACCTGGACACAGAGACTGAAAAACGCTCAGTGTCGCGCCGACAGGACCAAGCATTTCCTCTGGGATCCCAACTGCCAGTCCAACAAATAGAACTTAAGAAACCAAATGTGTTAATAAGAGCATGCATTAAATCCAATTTTTTTTATTTATAATTTTTTTTAAAGATTTTATTTATTCATTTGACAGAGACACAGCCAGAGAGGGAACACAAGCAGGGGGAGTGGGAGAGGGAGAAGCAGGCTTCCCGCCGAGCAGGGAGCCCGATGCGGGACTCGATCCCAGGACCCTGGGATCATGACCTGAGCCGAAGGCAGACGCTTAATGACTGAGCCACCCAAGCGCCCCTTAAATCCAATTTTTTAAATTCTTTTTTTTTTACTGTTAAAATTTTTTTTTCATTACAGTAAAATATATATAGTAGAAAATTTGCCACCATAACCATTTCTAAATGTATGATTCAGGGGCCTTAAGTACATTTGCATTGTTGTGCGACCATCAGCACGAAACATCTCCAGAACCTTTTCATCTTCCCAAACTAAAACTCCATACCCACAAAACACGAACTTCTCCCTTTTCCTCTTCCCCCAGCCCCTGGAAAGCACATTTCTGTCTCTGAATTTACTACTACCTGCTTCAGATAAGTAGACTCATATATACACTATTTGTCTTTCTTGTGATAAATCTACTTTTTAAAAGAAACTCTTAGTCTGGTAGGAGTACTTGTCTCAAGAAATCCAGCAGGTGCCTGGTATGAATTGAAGGATACTGCCATCATGGGAATGATCCCCTCACCCCACCCCTATTTACTAATGATTAACTTCAAGTGCGTTACCTTGACCCCATGCACTTTATAGTCTCGCGGTCATTTGGAGCTGGAAACAGTGCGCGTGAGATTGGTTGGTATAAATCAGTGGTCACTTCTCTAGAGCTCTGAGGCTCCATTGCTTTTTTGTGGTTATTCTTATTGCCTCTGAGCAGTTAGGTGACCCACCTTGGAGGTGGGGAAGCTGAGGCTGCCGGCATCCCCATGGGGTGAGTAGCGGAGCTGGGGGTCCAGACCAGTCCAGGCGTCTCCCAGGAGCCCCAGGTGAGGGCCTGGCAGGGTTCTTCCCAGTGAGCATCACTGCTGGTCCAGGGCTGTGAGGACCACTTGGCTTTCCCGTCGTGCATGAGATGCTTCTCGGTGGCCCTCACTCTGCTCCCCTGCCTCTTCCAGGAAATGGCCCAGCACCTGCTGGCGGTATTTGGTGGCTACTACATCCGGCTCCTGGTGACCTCGCAGCTCCCCCAGGCAATGGGAACACGACACACAGACTCTGCAAGGTTTCCCTGCCCCTGCCAGCTCATAGAAGCCCATATCCTGGGCACTGGGTGCTGTCCCTTCCTGGCCAGGTGACCTAGGGAGGAAGGCACCCAGCTTCCTGCAAGACTGAAGGTGAGACATCGGGAAGGCTTGGCGCCCCAGCTGGCTGCAGGTGAGCCCCCAGGCGAGGAGAGAAGCATCTAGGAACACGCTGAAGAGTGTCAGTCACGTCAGTGGCAGGGGTGGTATCGTGCTCACTCCCGGACTCTGCACAGAAATGCCTGTTGACATCCCATGCTGACCCCTGGCCTTTTCAGAAGCTGCTGGTAGCCAAGCTGGTCCCACTCCAGACTACTCTGTGCTGCCTAGAACCAGGGGCACAGATGGAAGGCCACTCTCCCATGCCTTTCATTGTTTGGAGAGCCCAGGAAATGTGAAGAGGACCCTACTGGGCCAACCGTGTGTCCAAAGCTTGGTCTCCGATGATGCTCCCATCCTTAGCTACTTCATGTCAGATGGGGAAACTGAGCCTTGGAGAGGGCTCTGCTCTCTGTAGCATTACCTTGGCCCTCTAGAATTCCTAATCTGAAGGAAAGAAGTCAGTTCTCAGAATGTTCTCCACTTCCAAGTTTCTCCTGCCCTTTATTTTATGAAAAACAATGGCCCCATGTTGTTTGCTAGCACACACACTTCCAGGGGACAGAAGAAAGAAACCAACAGCATGTAACTGATGATGGAACTCTTTGGAAAAGATCGATTCTGATTTGTGGATGTCTTTTGTTTAAAGGCATGCATGCTTGTGGTTGTGGTTTTCTCCTTCAGGCCTGGAGCCACAGTCCTGTGTTTTCTGACACTAACACTGTCCTGGAATGAAGCATAATCTGTCACTCATGGCGTTGCGTGAAGAGCTCGGGGGCTTCCAGGTTCTCTGCTCCTGTGCAAGTTTGAAGACCAATTATTCCATAGGCCCAAATCCAAAAGACCTGCCCTGGCATGCGAAGGCTCCCCAACCTCCAGGACCCAGCCCTCATCTGTAGTTTTGGCTTCATCTCCCACAGAACTTCTTGCTAAATTGAAACTCTTTCCGGGACTAACATACCTATTCTGTTGCGTCCGTTGAACTCCTGTGCATGCTTCAAAGCCCAGCTTTACTTACCCCTCCTTCACGAAGCCTTTCGACATAGAACATGCCCTCCTTCTCTGCCTCCTTTAAATTCTTAATGTAGCTGCTGCCTTTGTTGAGGTTTTATGTTATTCTGTTTTCCTATGCACATGTGTATTTTTCGAGCTAGACTAAGCTCCTGAAGGACAAAGAGCCCACCTTATAATTTTTGTGCATGGCCTGGACCTGCTAAGAAAAAAAAATCCAGTGGATTGAGTGCTTTGTCATCTCCATAGTAACATTTGCAGATTGTGCCCCCTCTCAGTTGAATGATGAAGTTGGCACAGATCTGGGTTCTGGTCCTGACTGACATTTCTGGCTGTGCGACTTTCAGCCAGTCCTCAGTTTACTCATCGTTATATAAAAGGATATATAGTGGACAGGTTGGATGATTCTTAATTGCCCTTCCAAAGCCAAAGTTCTGGCTTTTTCTGTTCCAGTCTAGCCCTTGGCCTGTTATGTTTTTATCTACATGTAGAAAGTCCTCTAGCCTTGCATGACCAAGGTGTCCCAGACCTGATGGGCCTTTGGGCAGAACACAGGCCTAGCGAGCAGGAGACCTGGATACTCATCCCAGGTGAGAAGCTTCCTAGAAGCATGACCGTTGGCTTACGTCACTTACCCTGTCCGAGGGCCAGTTTACTCCTTTGTAAATGGATCTGGTGAACATGAAAGGTAATTGTGTGGGTGACTTGCTGTGTAAGAGACCAGTCTGACCGTTTTCTTTCTCTGAGCCAGAGAAGAGAAACTGTGGACATAGACCCACCCTCGGAAATGGCCATTGTAGACATTTCTCTTTAGAGATTTCTCCGAGGGCAGCTATGCTCAGTAAGAGTCACTCGTGGAGGCAGTCTCTGTCCTTCTCACCTGCTGCAGAGGATATGCGGGCTGGGGGCAGGATCTGTAGAAGCCCGTCTTTATCATCCACCCATAAAACCCTGGTAAGTCTTGTAAGAGAATAAAAATGTGTCTGTTAAATGACAGAACAGCTGTTCCTGCATTTCAAGGCTGACTTAAATGGGAGGGTTCTTTCCTGCCTTTTCCTCTCCAAGTTTCTGGTGGTTTAACTGGTGGGTAGAACACTCAGGTGTGCCTCCAGGTACTTCCTTTGCATCTGCCCCTTGGTTTCCTCATTTAGAAAATCCTGTGATCTCTGCCTTGCCTGCCTCCCAGGGTTGTGTGAGGATCAGAACCCATCAGTGGACACGCTCTGCTTTAAGGCTGTGTGCCAAGGACAGGCACGGAGGTGGTGTCTTGATAGGGGAGCGGAGGGTGTGACTCAGAGCTTGGCTTCTAGCCTGACTCAGATCCGGGTCCTGCTCTTCGGGGCAGTGTCCTTCCCATCCTTGGGTGTCACTCCTCACGTGTGGAGTGAGGATAAGAGTACCTCCTTGGCAGGTGTTGTGAAGATTAAATGTAAAGTACTTGCAACTTTGAGTTGTAAGCTTGAGTAAGAGCACAATAAATTGTTGCTATATGTGTATATATATATATTTTTTATTTTATTTTATTATTATTATTTTTTAATCTCTCACTATGTCTTATATACCGCAGGTGCCCAGGATATATATATATTTATTGATGTAGTAGGTCATCAACAGTTAATGTTTATTCAGTCTGCATAAGACCTCAGTTACTCCAGCACCGTGGGATGTGTTTATGTGAATAAAGCTTCTAGTCCAATCTCTCTGAAATTCAGTACCGGGAGGTAGCAGCAAGCTGGTGACTTTGGGCCACATGCTCACCCTCCCTATTCCTCCTGTACCTCCATTTCTTCACCCATAAGGGAGGGTGTGAGGATAGGGGGATTAACTGAGGTGTTGCATGGGAAGTACAAGGTCTGGGCCATAGTATGGTCCAAAGTCAGGGCTCCATCAATGACCGAATTTCTGTGCCGCTGCTGCATGCTGTTTGCTCCCCGTGTCTGTTAGGGCCCGTTCAGACCTGTGTTGCTCAAATCTGCATCCTTACCCATTTCAGGTTGTTTGTGCTATCAGTGACTGAGGGAGGAAAATCTCCAAGTATGATTGTAGATTTTCTGTTTTGATTTTTCTGTTTTGATTTTTCTGTTTTGCCTTTTACTTCTTCTTTTTCTTCTTTTTTAAAATTTATTTGACAGAGAGAGACACAACGAGAGAGGGAACACAAGCAAGGGGAGTGGGAGAGGGAGAAGCAGGCTTCCCACGGAGCAGGGAGCCCAATGTGGGGCTCGATCCCAGGACCCTGGGATCACGACCTGAGCCAAAGGCAGACGCTTAATGACTGAGCCACCCAGGCGCCCCTTGCCTTTTACTTCTGACGCATTTTTTTTTTTTTACATTGTTTTAAAAAATTGAGATGGATGTAATTCACATAGCATAAAACTCACTGTTTTTTTTATGTTGAAAATGTAATTTTAATAGATAATTCTTCATCTTACATAGGAGCACAGTAAAATACACCACATTCTGAAGAAACTCCAGAAGTTACGAGAATCAAGAGTGGGGGAAATTCAGACGGGCTACAATATCCATTACCTTAAATTGCGAGAGACCAATGTTCCAACCTGCGGGTTAACATTTACATACTCAGGACTGGCTACACTGATGACTTACAAAGAATAAGGATAGGGAATTCGATATGAAGAAGGGTGGGAAAGAACAGTTTTTTGAGGGGAGGAACTCTGTCAATGCAGAAAAAAATTACTGAATAGCAAACAATAGGAGCTCCCATAGCAAATACTGAAGGATGAAAGAATCATTAACTGAGGATCTGATACTCTCAAAGGAAGAAACCTTTCAGATGACACTTACGCAAGCTGGCTGCTTGAGATCTGCTCATCAGGTCTATAAGGAAGCCTCATAAATGGCTCAGCAACCCTGAATGATTATCAGATTGGTGTTTCCTAGTAACACATACCAGTGGTTACACATGAAGTTTCCAGACAAGAACTAAGAAAAAGGTCATATCCCAAATGCCAGACACAAACAAATGTGGCACAACATGTGAGTCCTACATAGTCAGTCACAACTGCTGCTTTGCTGTGACTCTCCTGTACAGTAAGTTTCAAACATCATGGCAAGACATTTACGATCAATTAATCAGACAACACAAACACATTTATTCAAATTTCTAGGAGGTAAAATAATACCAAATACCAATGCTTTATGCATGCTCAGGGCCAGCTTATAAATACTCCGTTCAGTGACATCTTAACACAAGTTTGCATCAGGGAAAAG